AATTATTCTGCTTCTCATTGGTTACATTTATCATTATCATTGGGTTCTCTTGATGCTACTGTGAGTAGAATCGATTGTTTTAATTTTCTTTAGAGATTGTAGGTAATTTAGTAACACAGTTGAGTTTTATGTGTTGGCCTTTTGTTTTAGAGTTTAGCTAAACTTGCTTATTAGCTCTGACAGTTTTAGGATTATGTCATCTACACATAGAGGTAACTTTACTACTTTATTTCCTGATTGCATGCCTCTTTCTTGCATGAGCTGTCTTTCTAGAGCGCCCAGTGGGATGCTGAATAGAAGTGACAAGAGCAGCTGTCCTTTCTTCTGTTACTCCTGGTGTAAGCGGAAATGCTCTCAGTTTTTAACTATGGAGAATGATGCTGACAGTGAGTTTTCACACACGGCCTTCAACAAATAGAAGCTTCTATTTGTAGATTGTTAAGTGTTTTGTCATGAAAGGATGTTTTTTGTTTGGTTGATTAGGATATCAGTCTGAGTCCTAGAACTCAGCATATAGCCCAGGCTGGCCTCAAATGCACAGTGATCTTCTTGTCTTAGCTTCTCAAATGCTGTGTTTCCAGGTACATGACACTATGTCAGGCTTGCACGGATTCTGTTTATGTTTAGCTTCTCTAGTGTTCCTTGAATAAGGCCTAGTTGCTTGTTCATGGCATGTAACTTCTTCTATATGTGGTCGGATTAATTTACTAGTATTCTGTTGAGTATATTTGCATACATCTCCAGAAGCGATATTGATCTGTAGTTCCCTTGTAATGTCTTTGGCTTTGAGTTTGGAACTTTATCCTCTGAACATGATACAGTTACCATCTTAGAAGCAGATCTGTAACGAGTCTTTCTCTGTCCCTCCAGCTCCCAAATAATGACACAGAAACTTCTTATTAATTATGAAAATTAGGCCTTAGCTTAGGCTTGTCCCACTAGCTCTTAAAGCTTAAATTACCCGTTTATATTAATCTACATTTTGACTTGTGGCTTTTTACCTTTTTTCCATTCTGTTTATCTGACTCCCTCAATGTCTTGTTAGCATCTCCTCTGCACCTTGATTATCACCTCCTACTTGCTCTCTGTATGCCCAGAAGTCCTGCCTATACTTCCTGACAAGCTATTGGCTGTTCAGCTTTTTATTACACCAATCACAGCAATACATTTCACACAGCTTACAAATGTCCCACCACACAGATCAACTGTGATTACCTGTGTGAAGATCCCCCCACATTGCACACATTCCTTTGTGAAAGGTAGACAAGAGCCCATGGACATACATCCAAAGCCCTGCCACTCAGGTTTGATATATGAGCGGTTAGCAAGAGCTAGGTGGGGAGGGTTCTTCTTCAGTGTTGTTGCTGTCTATGAGTTGCTGTGCTCCTGTCAGTAGCCTTGAATCGTGTAGACTTGTTCCTTTGGTTTGTTATTGGTGCTGTATCTGGCATAAAGAGCTGTTTGTTCATGTTTTCACAGGAAAAGCAACACAATACTTTGATATCAAGGTAACATGAGATTCTTGGGGTTCTTGCCTATGTTTTGGAACAGCTCGAAGATTGCTTGGTAGAAAGCAATAACAATCTGAATCTAGTTTTCTTTTTTTTTCTGGGAAACTTTTGAGTATCCGTTTAGCTCCTTTTGTTGCATTAGGTGTAATAGAAAATGTTACTCCTTCTTGAAGTGATTTTGGGAGTGTGTATGTTTCTATGAATTTGTCTATTTCTTTTAGGTTATAAATTTCTTTCTTTCTTTCCTTCCTTCCTTCTCCCCGCCCCCTTTTCAATGCCTCACAGAGTCCAGGTCATCCTCAAACTTGCTTTGTAGTAGAAGATTGTTTGTGGAGACTGTTCATCCGTTTCTCACCTGCTCAGACCCAAATAATCACACAGAATCTATATTAATTAAAACACTGCTTGGCCAATAGCTTATGCATATTTTTAGCTAGATCTTACATCTTGAATTAACCCATTTCTATTATTTTGTATTTTAATACGAGGCTCCTGGTTTACTGGTAAATTTCCAGGCACCTGTCTCCTTTGGCAGCTGCATGGCGTCTCATTGATTCCACCTACTTTCTCTCTATATCTCTGTTGAGATTTCCCGCCTAGCTTTATTCTGCCCTGACATAGGCCCAAAGCAGCTTCTTTATTAACCAATGGTAATAAAACATATTCACAGCATACCAAGGGGCATCCCACATCACCTCCCCTTTTCTCTCTAAATGAAAAGGAAGGTTTTAACTTTAAATTACATATAACAAAACAAGTATCAAGCAAGAATTATAGTTTATAGTATTTAGTCCATTTAGATTTGGCAAATTAAGGAAAATACTCTATCATCTATCCTATCTTTGTGAGTCTAAAGTTTTATATCTAATTCATCCTTTATCATAACTAAGGAAAACTATAACTATTTTTCTTCAACTCTTCAAAGACCCCAGAAGGATAATATTAACAGGAAGTGCATTGTAAGCAACTTCCAAAACTCTAGAATTGACAGAGACATTATGCTACCTGGAGAGTCACCCAAAGTTTTTCTGTAACATCTTCAGCCTACAGACCTGTAGTATCTGGCAGACTGTTCCATGAAGCAGGAAATTTCAAAGACAGTTCTGCCTATATTAGCAATTTATCAGCCACTTTCTTCTGTGTCCTGCGGAATGTCTGGCAGAGTCTTTCATCAAGCAGAACCCTGAAGGACTGTCTTGCCTTCTTTAGACAAGCTCAGCAGTCATTTTCTGTGGGTCCTGCATGTCCGGTTTATATGGTATACTATCAAGCAGTCCAGGCAAGAGAAGTTTCTTGCCCAAATGGCTAGTCTTGTCACATTGAAGGCAAATTCCATAACGAGTTTCTTCAGTGCCCATCAACTTCTCTGTAGTAATTGGTGCTCCCAGAAGCAGACATGTCTCACTGTTGAGAAAAGTCTGTTCTTAAAACATTTTAAATACCATATTCTGTATGCCTTTGAAAGATTAAAAGTATACTTATCCATCTGAAATATATCTCTGTACATCTAGAAAACCTAAGTAACATGACTACAAGTTTGACTATTATAAATGACTATTAATCTGTATTTTTCAACTATACACTACATTTTTAAGTGAGCTGCACAAACACAGTACCTTAAACAAGAGCAGAAATATATACAACAAAATTGACCTTAAATTTGTATCAATAGGATGACCTTCAAATTCTGACCCTCCTACCCTCACCGCTTGAGAGCTGGGATTACAGGCGTGTATCACATGAATGATGACACAATACTGGGACTCAGACCCTGGGCTTTTTCTCCTCAACTACATTCTGAGTTTGATTCTTTTTATTTCTATAAATTGGTAATGATATATTCATTTTGAAAATACTATGGCTGAACTTTTAACTATGAAAAAAATTGAATACATACAAAGGTAAATAGATTAAAAAGCACAGTGAACTTTCACCTACACTTCACCAAGATGAGCGGTGATCAGGGTGTGCCACACTTCCTTCACAGCTTTTCTCTCCATTCCTGCGGATGCGGCCAGTCCTGTTCTGCCTAGAGAAGAAGGTATTTTTCAAAAGCATAGAGGACAAACGCGAGTACGTGCAGCTAATGGCTTGCTGGCACTGAGCTAGCCCATGCCTTCTAGCCGTTCTCCTCTTTTCCACAAGATCAAGTTTCCAGGCAAGTTTCTCCTGCTGGAGTATGACCTCCAGCCAACTGGAGGTACCTGGGAGCTGTAAAATATATTAGCATGTCTGGGTCCTACCCCAGAGGTTCTTATTTTATTGGTCTGGGATATGGTCTGGGCATCAGGAGATGTTTTAAAGCTTATTCTAACATAAAGCCAAGATTGAGAGCTTCTGCTCTAAAGTATAAGAACTCCATTTTCTTCTATTTTTCCATTTGTAATACATTCCTGAGTCGTTCTTAGGGGGAAGAAAATCCCTGAGAACATGTGCTGTGAAACCCAGCTGCCTACTTGCATGGGTATTTACAAATAAGTAATGAATTTAAAGATCAAGTCAAACAAAAGCCAGGAATCAGTTCGGGAGTTAAGTCTGAAATCTGTTGAGTTGTTGCTAATCTTTCGCGGAAAGAGACCTAAATCAGGATATGGGGAGCGCAGCCAGGTGTGAGGAATGGAGGCTTAGTCAACGGGGAATTCTTTTGAGTTCCTTGGGGCTTTTGTCCAAAGCGGTGCTCTCAAAGCTGGCTGTACATCAGCGGCTGAAGCAATACGTTTTACTCGTGCGTTCTAATTTAATTTGCCAATGCCAAACAGTCTTACGTTTTAGTGAGCATCTAAACCACCCAGAGGGATGCTAAAACAATTGCTGGACACATCCTCAGAATATCAGAATCACTAGATCTGAGGTAGGGGTTCAAAATTTGCATCTTTAGCAAATTCTTGGGTCACATGTAAGAGTTACTGGCAGGTAAGCTGTTTGCGTGGGTGAACCCATCATGGTCTTTACCTCTTTGCTCATATTCTCATTCCTCCCACTCTTCAACCAGACTTTGGGAGCTCAGTCTAGTGCTCCGATGCAACTCTCTGTCTGTTTCAATCAACTGCTGGATGAGGTCAAGACCATGATGGGTTCACCCATGGAAACAGTTTACCTGAGCTAATGGGAGCTCACCAACCCCAGCCAGACAGGGAAGGAAAGAGCAAAGGTCCAAACTAGTCCCTCTGAATGTCGGTGACAGCTGTGTGGCTGGGGAGACTGTGGGCCACTGGCATTGGCACCAGGATTTATCCCTACTGTTTGTACTGGCTTTTTGGGAACCTATTCTCTTTGGATAGATGCTTTGCTCAATGTAGATATAGTAGGGAGGGCCTTGAACCTTCCTCAAAGCAACGTGTCTTACCCTCTCCAAGGAGTGGATGGGGGGTGGGGGAGTTAGGCGAAGGGAAGGGGAGGATGGGAGGGAGTGGGAACTGAAATTGGTATGTAAAATGAAAAAGATAGTTTGTTTTCTCTTTAAAGAAATAAAATAAAGACACCTGCACCATGCCTGCCTGTTGTCTGTGCTTGCCGGCTGCAGGCCTTCTTCTGGGGCTGCTGCTGTCCACCCCTCTCTCAGGTGCAGGACTGGCTGAGGAAGAGCTCTGGGATACTTCTTCATCCGTCAACCCTACTTTTCCATCAGAGGGAGGGCAAGTTTCCACCATGGCACCTGCTGTGGCCATGGACGAAGGTGTCCTTGAAAAGCAGGGCTCCTGCCCCAGTGTGGACTTCCCCAAGCTCGGCATCTGTGAGGACCAGTTCCAGGTGGATAGCCAGTGTCCTGGAAACATGAAATGCTGCCGCAATGGCTGTGGGAAGATGACTTGTGCCACACCCAAATTCTGAGCTGCAGTCACCACCAGCCTGAGGAATGGGACGAGAATGCTTCTGCCAGGCCGTGCATCTGGCACCATTCCCAGGGCCTCCCTTCCCTCTGGTCTTTGTGTTTCTTCCTGGACCTGCAAAAGCATCTCCCTTTTCTAACCAATAAAGAGCTCCCTTTCAGAAAAAAAAAAAATTACAAAACCAAAAAAACACACTAGGAAAAAAGAAAAGAAAAAAGTTACTGTCTTAGAGCAAGGTCCAAACATTAGTTTGTAAGAAAAATGTGTCCAGGTAATTTCAACATACATCAGGGGTGGAAAATTAGTGCCTTGGAACGCCATACTTTCTAATTAAAGTGTAGCAGAAACTACAGCAAACCTGGTCCTTCGGAACCACGGCATTTCAGGCTAATGAACAAATTTCAGATAGAGTCCTGGACACAGTCCATGAAGGCCTAACTCTATGCTGGGAAGAAGAATGGTTGGATTCAACTCTCGAATTCTGTCAGTAGAAGAAACACAACCGAAGAACGTTTTCCCCTTTCATGTAACTGTCAGAGAAGTAAAGCGACTCTTCCGGCACAGACTGTGTGGTACAGTGGGACACGAGAAAGAGGTTGCTTCCGCTGCTGACCAGCAGGGGTAAGTAGCTAGTCCTTGGGAGAGGAGAGGACAGTCAGTATCTTCAGTGGTGAGAAGCAAGCATGCTGCTTGTGGGAACCAGTGCTGACAGTCTGCTTATGCAGATGGAGCCTTCTGTGACAAGATATTCAAAGAAAGTATCCCCATCCCCAAGAAGCCACTGTTAGCTTAATATATTGTAGGTGGCTTGCTTTTGAGTTTTACATTATGAATTTGTCCCTGATTTGAATTAACTCTGTAACACAGTTGTGTAATAAATATCATGCCAACCTTACAGCAGCACTGGCCAAAAGGTAGACATGCTGGGACAGTTGGGAGGAACTCTGGTCTTCAAGTCCCTGGTGTTTCCATACTTTAGGGGTTCATAACCACTCATGTTCCTCTGAAAGCCACCCCTCTCTACCACCCCTTCTCCACCCAACCCCCTTTCATCCCACCATGCCCATGCTGAGTTTGGGTTCAGGCCATTTTCTCAAAATGCTCCTAAGTCACAACACCTAGTACCCAGCTATCCTGAAAGACCACTTTCCTCAGCCCTTATACTATGTGTAAATGGGGCGCAGGTCTCTGCAAAACAAACCCCTCCCCCCCTGCATTCTTGACTACTCAGTTGAATTCCCTGGTGGGTCTTTGCTTATTGCTCTGCTTGCAGGTCAATACAATGAATCTAGAAGCCTATTGTTGTAGATCAAAAGAACCCCTAAGTGACTTCCTGTTGGGAGTTAAATTACCTTTTTACTCTTTTCAACCAGCAGAGCAAGTGACTGGGAGCTAGCCAGATGCTAATATGTCAATAAATTAGTCTGCCTCCAAAGAAAAGGGACTCCACTCAAGAGCACACGTTTGTGGCAGAAGCTTGAGAAGTGCATAGGGCGTGACAATAACTAACAATAATTTACTACACATTCCAAAACAGCTGGGAGAAATGATTGGTGATGCTTTTTGTATAAGAAAGGAAGACATGTGAGATGGTGGATACACTAATTATCTTGATTCTATCATTACGTATCTTATACATGTGTCAAATATCACACTGTACTCCACTTACATATTATTGAAAAATAGAGTAAAAATTGCAAATATTATCACTATGATTTATCACAATGAAAGCTTGTGTCAGACCCAAATTTTTCCTACTTCTAAACTGTGTATTAGTGAATGGGCCAAATGAGAACAGCCAGATAACAGCTCCCGGAGACTTGATAAAGTCTACACTGCCTTGTCCTGATGGTCTAAGGAATGCATAGCAGAGAAGATGGACTTGGAGCTGATGCGGACTTATGCTGACAGAGGGCCTTTCGGTCAGTTCAAAAGAAGCAATTCTGCATGGAGAAGGCTGACCTTGGTGCTACTATTCAGTCTCTGCAGCTGCCAGGCTACCACGTTCTCTGGTGATGTTTGTGCACAGTGTAAGTACTTGCACAAGGGAACTCGAGTAACAACCATTTCACTGTGAAAATGAACAGGTTCACATAGCAACATCAGACACTGTCCTAGCTGCCTTTGGAGGGTAGCCTAAGACAAGGGACCTTCAGCTGCTAACTATTCGTCCTCTACTGAGTGTGAACTCCTGATTAGCAGTGTCGAAAAGGGTAAATATTTGTCATTGTGGATTCATTTACACAAACACGCATGCACACTCACACACATACATATACATACACTTACACACATGCATATATACATAGACACACACACACATGAATACGCACACACTTTCACAGAAACGCACACGTAAAGACACACAGATGCACACTCATGCATACATACACACACAGACTCACACACATTCATATACACACAGAGACACATGCATACACAGAGATACATACAGAGACAGGCACACAGAGACACAGACACACACACTTAGCACATTTTCAAACTCCAGGTAAATATTTAGCTGAAGATACTTCAGCCTACTCTCTCTCTCTTTTTGGGGGGGGGGGGGGGCGGAGTACTTTTTTCTCCTAAATATTAAAGTGAGACTGACTTTAAAAATAGGTGCATTACTCAGAAATGGGCAAAGTGTCTTTCTGTTAGTTAAGGAGCAAAAAATCTCACTCAGTCTTAGTCGTTTATGCCAAGAACAGAAGTTAGCATCTCATATTATCCCTGGGGATAAGATGGAAAGATTTCAGCCATATGTACTCCGAACCCAGGGATTCAGAGAATTTCAAATCTCTCCATCCTCCTCTTTCCTGCTCCCTCCTGTCTCCCTCACAAGTTTGTGTTTCCATGCATTGGTGTGATTCTCTTCTGACACACCTTTGCACGAGGTGTGCAAACTCTTCCAGCTTACGTCCTTTTGGCCCTATCACCCCAGAGCCTAGGGGATCCACTTCAAGAACCGGTTACAGGAAGATGTGAGTTGCCTCGATTTGTGTCACTCACTGTAATAGCAATCCCTAAGCAATCTTCCCAGCAAAGGGTTCTGGCACTCTGCAAACCCTGGGTCACAGACTTGGTGTTTTTGTTGATGACAGGGGACGATTACAAGAAGTAGGGTAGGAGTGCTTGCTTCTGTAGCACAGATGTTAAGGTTAATAGAATACAAAGATTAGTGCGAACCGTGCATGGAGGGCATGTGACTTCATGAAGTTTCCCCAGTTTGCTTTCTTCTGAGACATGGTTCTGCTTTGGGGCCAGACTGGTATGGAATGTGCCACAGAGCCCAGGACAGCCTCCCAGCTGACAGCCTCTGGTCTCAGCCTCTTGGGACCTGGGCTTACAGTTGTTTCCTCTGTGTCCAGTCACATTCCCTACCTTTTAATTTTTTTTTTTAATCTTAAGTGTTGTTTCTTTATTTTCTAAACTGTGAGGCTCTGGATTTGTTCGTTAGTTTATTCCATGATGCATATGCCACACCATGAGTTATAATCCTTAACCATATGTAGTTTTTATTTGTCAGTTATACATCAAGAAGAAGTGGTCGGACTGGCTCAGAGGATGAATTGCTTGTTCTACAAGCATGAGCCTGGATCTGCAGTGTGATGGCTAAAGAAGCTCCATTTTTATGCTAGGCACCCATCTCGGTACCTCCAGTCCCTGGAGGATAAGTTCCCAGTATCCGTGACTCAGTGACCGCCACCCAGACATGTACAGCTATGACGACTGCTTCGTTGCTTCAGCGACCTGGTTGCCCAGATACCCATAGATTCTTTTTTTTTTTTTTTTTTTTTTTTTTGACTTTTGAGACAGGGTTTCTCCGTAGCTTTTGGTTCCTGTCCTGAAACTAGCTCTTGTAGACCAGGCTGGCCTCGAACTCACAGAGATCCGCCTGCCTCTGCCTCCCGAGTGCTGGGATTAAAGGTGTGCGCCAGCACTGCCCGCCCCCACAGATTCTTTTGATTGCTTTAACTACTTTACTTGGCAGAGCAAACCAGCTTTTGCTTGCTTGTGTAGCTATCGAAGGTCTTCTTGTGGTTTTGCCCTCAAAAAAGTCTCCCCTCAATCGCCTTCTCTCAGGGATCTCAAATTTGGCTCAGAGATCGTTCATCCTGCCAACAGGTAATCAACAAATCTTTTAATTATAACTGGATTGAGTCTACAGTCTTTTCCCAGGAGGTCACAAACTCCGTAACACCAGCATCACCCCTGTAAGAGCCAGGAGATGCGGCATAGCCTATAGTCTCGAGCTGGGCGACTGGAGATGGGTGAGTCTCTGGAACTTGATGACCAGCTAGTCCAGACAAACGCCTAGGTCCATAAAGGCTTGCTCCAGGTTCAGTGAGAGGTCCTATCTCAAAAAACAAAATGGATAGCTATAGAGAACGACAGCACCCTGCATACACATCCACACATAGGCAGGAAAAGTTAAAAACGAAAGCTGTACTCCATTCCCCCAAGCTGCGGTTGCCATGGTCTCTGCAGCCCTTCCTGCTCTCCTTACACTGCTTCCTGTACTTGGGATCACCATATGTGGTAAACTGAGTGTTATGAAAGATGGGAAATATTAAGACTTTCTGTATGCTTTGTTATTTGTATTTATTTTAATTAATTTAAGTTATATTTATTTATTTATTTTTGTTTATTTTACTCCTGTGGTTCCAGGAATTGTGCATGCATTGAAGCGCTTTGCTGGCGAGCCTCACGTCCAGCCCTGTCACCTTGGTGTTGGCCTTCTCCCTCTGTTTTCTGTGTCTCAGGATTCTGTAAGCATTAGTCTATTTCATGTTTTGCAGTAGCTGGAATCATGGAGAACCACTGGCATAAGAACTTTCTGGGTTTCTTCTTCCAGCCGTCATTTATTTACTTTTGCTTTGGGAGGCAGGGTTTCTATGTGTAGCCCTGGCTGTCCTGGAACTGACTTTATAGACCAGGCTGGCCTTGAATTTAGAGATCCGCCTGCCTCTGCCTCTGAAGTGCTGGGATTAGAGGCAT